CCCGTTCAGCTCTGAGGGAATCCCTCTCATTTGCCAGACCGTTCTTCTCTGCCTTTAAGTCAGCAACCCCCTTCTTTGACTCACTCAGCTTAGACTCCAGCTCAGCAACTTTGGCCTCAAGGAGATTCTCTGCTTCAACAGACCTTTTAAGGCCCACAAAGAGGGATTTAAGCTTTTGTTTAGAGTCTCAATGGTTTTTTGGAAAGTGAACATCCCGAATAGAGTCTGCATGAAGGAAGGGAAATTCAGGTCAGACTAGCTACTAAAGAGTTATAGCAGAAAGGAAACGTATTTCAATAAAAAGAAGAGTTACCTCCATAGCAGCAGCTGGGAACCACTGGAACATCTCACCAAAGGATAACTTGTTCTGAATCTCAAGGTCCTTGGGGGTCTAGAAACCTTTGTAGAAAGCAAAGGAGGTGAGGGGGTCCTTATATATTGAGTCAGTGGGGCCAATGGTCGATCCATCTTCACGGCTGAGTAAAGGTTGCCATGGAAGAACAGATGGAGTCGGACCAGAGGTTCTAGCCAATTCGCCTTCTGGAATGAACCGGGCAGGGGGCAATGGTTCAGTATCCCTGAAGGAAGCCATCCTGATCCTCCGGGCTGGTGGGATATCACTCCGGTCATGACTGCCCTCAGGCATTGGCCTTTTTCCTAAACTTTTTTCTGACAGACCAGCATTAGCTGGCCCTCCATTGTCTTAAGAATTTCCAGCATCCTGAGTGCTCTCTGAGGAAGAATCAGACGAGATGTTGGAAGGCATAATGATGGGAGCAGCAGGACGGATCTTAGCAGTATGGTCCACAATAGGGTTCTCAGCATGAGTGAGCTCAGAAGGCTCAACAGCAGAACGGTTTGTGACTTGAGTCACAGTTGGAACAATCACAACTTGCTCTGGGGCAGAGACAGCAAGGGAAGACGATGTGGAAGTAGGTGTAGATGATGATGTGATAGCAGGAGCGTTAGAAGGGGTGGGAGCAGAACGCCTCCTCCTGCTGAAAGATGGGATCTGAATGTTCTCCATTGTGGACCCTAAAAGAGAGATGTCAGAAAGATTGTCAGATGTAAGCAAATCAGTAGCTGAAGGGACATTGTTCAGCACACTTTCTTGCAAGATGTCTAGCCTAGCCCTGCAGACGCTATAAACCAGTTCATCATGGGGAATTTGAAGGCATCTACAAAGAAAAGTGTAAAAACGGGGAAGACAACTTTCACAGTGGCATTCAGTAAGATGTGTTTTTAGCTTTTTGTAGCTAGAGACAGAGCATATTCCAAAGGAATAAGGGATTGAGAAGGATTGGCCGAGCGGAGTCTGCCAATTCCCACTAACCACAATTAAGTTTCGTCTCCAACCTTTTTCAAATGAGTTCTTATCAGTGCAGATCGACCGTTTGTTAATAGGGAAGAAGTGATAGTACAAATCATTTTGTGAAATCTTATTAATCCGATAGCAGAGGAGAAGGTCAATAATGTCAAGATTGAGACCCCTGTCACGATTCAAGAGCAGGAGGACTGAAATTACCCTAAGAAAGTTAGGGTTAACTTGCAGGGGGCAGAGCCCCAATTTGTTGAAAGCATAACAAAAGAATGGGTGTAGGGGGAACCTAATGACGTTCAAGTGAACGGCGGAGAATAAAACTTCCCCAAGAAGGAGACCCTCACCAGATCTCCCGTCTAAGTTTATTGGATAGACTCTGAGAGAAACATCGCGAGGAATGCAATTCTTGGATTGAATGGCGTTCAGATTAGGGGGAGTCATAGAGAAAGGGAGGAGCCCTAGGCAGTAAAGGTGTCTTTTTTAAAGAGAGATTTAAAAAAAACTGACCTTGAAAGTTTGTGATGAACGCAGCAACGGCACAATAGCTAAAAATCGAAAAGGAAAAACTCGCCGGAGAAATTGAAAAAGGATCGCCGGAATGTGCAGGAAGGCAACGGAGAGTAGAAGCGAGATATAAAAAGAAGGGTGAAGGTTGAAAGACCGGAATTTATAAAGAGGAAAAGTAAAGGCGACATGGAACTCAAAAGGTCAAGGCAAAAAGTGGCGTTGCAGATCTCGAAGCTTGGGTTTTTGTGCCAGTCGTTCGATTCCTCGTGTCATTGCTCTGAGCCGTCAGACCAAGATCGTGTCTTTTCAATAATCTCACCCTCATTAATGAGGGGAGAGATTATTGGGGGCAGATGAGGACACCAAAATGACCCGGGCTTGGTATGATCCGTATTGCAAAGGACGGGTCGGGTATGGATAGACAGGATGGAGCAAGTTCACGCTGGATGGGCCCAGATCCATAAAGTTATTGCAGAAGCCCATATTAAAATGAGAGAAGTTGAGTCCAGGCAAAAGGGAGCAGATAAGGCCCAAACCAGAGGAGGTTGTAACCGTCTATAAATAAGGGAAATTGAGAGGGAAAAGGGGTTAGAAAGATTGGGAGTGAAAAATTTATCTCTGTAATTGGGAGAAATTCTTTGTACTTTCAATTTCTTTTCCTTTCCTTTCTTTTTTTTCATAACTAATGTTATCATTTCTTTTCTTTTCTCTCCTGTGTATCCAAATGAAGCCTTACTTAATAGACATAGAAAATTATAGAAGGTGTAGCCTATAATATATTCATTAGTAGTCTAATTGTATTGAAATATTGCATTTTCCATATTGTGTCCGGTGAATGGATATGGCTTTTTTAAAAACTTTATATATATATATATATATATATATATATATATATATATGAGCTTTTCAAAGGTTAATAATCTATTTCAACATTTATGATCAGTTCGTTTGTTAATTCAATTCATCGCTTAATTATAATATTATCGAATTAAGTGTGTTTGATAATGCAATTTAAATACTACTGAAAATAGTTGGTACCACTTAAAATGAGATAAAATTTTAAGTGATAGGCTCAAAATTTAAAGAGATATCAAAAAAAATATTTATTTTTAAATTACCACTTGTAAGCTTCAGCACTTGAAATTTAGGTCTTCAAATTTTTAGTATTATCAAACAACAAGTCCTCTTTCAATCAATCAAGTACTTTTGATAAATTTAAATACCACCTTAAAAATGTAAGGGTCACTTAAAATGTGATAAAATTTTAGGGATAATTCCTAAATAATGGAATTATAGAGTCTAATGATGAAGCCAACAACACCTTTTTTCAAAATGATGGAGTTTTTATCAAAGTCAGACCAAGACATGAAAATTTATTGGACATTATCATTTTATTCCCAAATTATCCATGATTTTATCAAGGTGTATATAAATATATGTATTATTCTCCAAAAGCACCACCCCATTGTCAGCAACGTCGTCGTTCCACTGCCAGAACTGTCGCCACAACTCTTTCTCTCTTCTTCCTCTATCTCTCCGCCATTGCTTTCTCCCCTCTGTTTTCATTCCCTGCGATTCTCTCTCTTCTCTCCACCATGGTCTCCAACCACCACTCCAAAGACCATAAATATAAAAAAACATATGAACACATATAAGCATACATGTATGTATATATTTTGTATAAGTAATAAAATTTGATTGATATCTGCATATATATAATATATGCAAACATTCAATTAATTACATCAGATTGGTATCCAACATATTATTTCAATAATATATATATATATATATATATATATTGAGAGCGAATCCTGATCTGGGAGCAAGAAAATTAATCTACGCTTTTTATATGGACGGTTAGAATCTAACCATCATTTTTCAAACCCACCTATATATTTTAATTTTAACACAAAACCACTCTCACCCTATTTTTAGTTTCTATATTTAATTTTACCATTACCATCTACTGCAGCAATAAAAGGTAATTATCAAAATAAAAATAGAAACCTTGGTTGTTCTCAGTGTTCAATAGTATGTGTTCTTTTTTACATGTGCACATACTAAAATTCAAATAAATATGTTTCTCTAGTATAAGTAAATTTACCAACAAAGTTGCATTTTGAAATATCAAATTAATACATTAGAATTGAAATTCGAGAAAATTTTATTTAAAATTTGAACAAAAGTTCTTTCTATTTCAATTTTAAGATGTCTCAGTGTTTCCAATCTAGCTTAACTAGATTTTGAGGAATTGTGTTGGGCACAAATTCTCTTATTAAATTTTTGGGCACTAGTGTTCAAATATATAAAACAAATGATCTTTCATTATCATTCCTAAGTGAATCATCTAGGGCCTGGTGACACGAAACATATTAAGGTGGGATACACCATCTTAATAGGTAAGTTATCATTTAAAATAGTCAATACAAAGACTTTCCAAATCAAGTCTATATAAAGAAAATAGTCATTCCTATGAGTGTTATTTTAGTAATATATACTGACATTATTTTTTGGGAAAATTACATATAAATGGAGTCAAAGTTCCATATTTACTTAGAGGCTGAGTCAAAGTTCCATATTTCTCTAAAATGGATTGCTGAGGTGGCACATGGTTTTTTACTGTTTAGAAATTGTGGTGCCTAAAATACCCTTCCGCGAAGGTACTACTTTTTCTTCGAAGGTACTACTTTTTTGAACTGAATGTACTACTTTTTGGTGTCCAGGTACCATGTTTTTTAAACACCCGCGAAGGTACTACTTTTTCTTCGAAGGTACTCCTTTTTTGAACTGAAGGTACTACTTTTTTGAACTGAAGGTACTACTTTTTTGTTAGGGAAGGGCATTTTAGGCACCATAATTTTCTAAACAGTAAAAAATCATGTGCCACCTCAGCAATCCATTTTAGAAAAATATGGAACTTTGACTCAGTCTCTAAGTAAATATGAAACTTTAACTCCATTTATATGTAATTTTCCCTTATTTTTTTAAAAAAAGTTTTTATATTCTTTTAAAGAAATATCTAAAATAAAATTTTAGTAATATATATTGGTATTATTTTTTTTTTCAAGTTTCTATTTTTATTTTGATAACTACTTTTGTATTGTTATAAGAGGTGGTAATGGTAAAATTAAAGATATATATATATATATGACGGTTCCTAGAGGGCGAATTCACATGGTAGAACGGAATAGAACAGTCGTGTATTAAAAGGGCATGATCCACACTTGGTTTCTGTAATTCCAATAGTGACCTCTCTCTGCATATTTTACTTGGCCGCCACTCATATATGGCGGTTCCCAATCTAATATCAGTCTCTATTTCGTCTTGTCATTAAACACACACATACACACACACACAGTTATATTCATATAGCAGTCGTGTTTAAGGAGTTTGCCCTAGTTCCGAGTCGCAGGTGGAAAGGAGTCTCGTAGATATCGTCGCTGCTAAGAATCTACAGACGGTGAGTGAATAGTTCTACCTTTTCGCTTCATTCTTTATATTTTTACATTAGTCCGAGATTTCAATTTCTTCTATTTCATGAGTAGATATATAATTATTTTTTTGGGTAGTTTATTTTTTGATTCGAGGCCATTTGTAGTCGTATTGAAGTGCAATTGCTCTATTTTCGGTTGAATTTGTGCCATGAAATTTATATTTGTTGAATGTCTGAAATCTATGTATTTATACGGGTGTGAATTTTTACTGTTCAACTAAACCCTAGGTTATTGGGTTTTTGGTTTTTTAGGGTTTTTGAAGTTCGATTCGAGATTTCACAATGGCGCATCTGGGTGGTGGTGCGGAAGCGCACGCCCGATTCAAGCAGTATGAGTATCGAGCCAACTCAAGTCTTGTACTGACCACCGACTCTCGCCCCCGTGACACACACGAGCCCACCGGCGAGCCCGAGTCCCTCTACGGGAAGATAGACCCCAAGACCTTCGGTGACCGTGCTTACAGGGGGAGACCTCCAGAGTTGGATGAGAAACTTAAGAAATCAAAGAAGAAGAAGGAGCGTGAACCGCTTGCTTCCGAGCCTACGCCTAGTAGACAGAGCAAGAGAAGACGAATTCTGGAAGAAAGTGTTTTGACTTCTACTGATGAAGGAGTTTACCAGCCGAAGACGAAGGAAACAAGGGCGGCTTACGAGGCCATGCTTAGTGTCATTCAACAGCAGTTGGGTGGGCAGCCACTGAATATAGTTAGTGGTGCAGCTGATGAGATATTGGCTGTCCTCAAGAACGACACGGTCAAGAACCCTGACAAGAAAAAAGATATTGAGAAACTTTTGAACCCTATACCAAACCATATATTTGATCAGCTGGTTTCCATTGGGAGGCTTATCACTGATTTCCAAGATGGAGGTGATGCAGCTGGGTCTGCTGCAGCCAATGGCGATGATGCTCTCGATGATGACATGGGTGTTGCGGTGGAGTTTGAAGAGAACGAGGAGGAGGAAGAAGAGAGTGATCTTGATATGGTGCAGGAGGACGAAGAGGATGACGATGATGTGTTGGAAGCAGATGCCCCAGCGGGGATGCAGATGGGCGGTGGGATTGACGAGGATGACATGCAGGAAGCTAATGAGGGCATGGCCCTAAATGTTCAAGACATTGATGCTTATTGGCTTCAAAGGAAGATTTCTCAAGCATATGAGCAGCAGATTGATCCACAGCAGAGCCAGAAGCTTGCAGAAGAGGTACTTAAAATTCTCGCTGAAGGTGATGACCGTGAAGTTGAAAATAAGCTTTTGTATCATCTCCAGTTTGATAAGTTCAGTCTCATAAAGTATCTGTGTCGGAACCGCCTTAAGATAGTGTGGTGTACCCGTTTAGCAAGGTCTGAAGACCAAGAGCAGAGGAAAGAGATTGAAGAAAATATGATGAAGTTGGGGCCGGATTTGGCTGCAATTCTGGAGCAGTTGCATGCAACAAGGGCAACTGCAAAAGAGAGGCAAAAGAATTTGGAGAAAAGTATAAGAGAAGAGGCTCGTCGATTGAAGGATGAGAGTGTTGGAGATGGTGATCGTGAGCGGAGGGGGCTTGTGGATAGAGATGCTGACAATGGTTGGTTGAAAGGGCAGCGTCAATTGCTTGATCTTGATGAGCTTTCATTTCATCAAGGTGGTCTTTTTATGGCAAAGAAGAAGTGTGAGCTTCCATTGGGGTCTTATAGGAACCATAAGAAGGGATATGAAGAAGTTCATGTGCCGGCATTGAAAGCTAAACCACTTGCTCCTGGGGAAGAGCTTGTAAAGATATCTTCCATGCCAGATTGGGCCCAACCTGCTTTCAAAGGGATGACCCAGTTGAACAGGGTCCAGAGTAGAGTTTATGAGACTGCTCTTTTTGCGGCAGATAATATTCTACTGTGTGCTCCAACTGGGGCAGGGAAAACCAATGTTGCAATGCTCACCATACTCCAGCAGATTGCATTGAATAGGAATGAAGATGGGTCATTCAACCACAGCAATTACAAGATTGTCTATGTGGCACCAATGAAAGCACTTGTTGCCGAAGTGGTTGGTAATCTGTCAAATCGTCTGCAGCATTATGATGTCAAGGTGAAGGAACTGAGTGGAGACCAGTCACTGACTCGCCAACAAATTGAAGAGACTCAGATTATTGTTACAACTCCAGAGAAGTGGGATATCATAACTAGAAAATCAGGAGATCGCACCTATACACAGCTTGTGAAACTTCTTATAATTGATGAGATTCATCTTCTGCATGATAACAGAGGTCCTGTTTTAGAAAGTATTGTTGCAAGAACTGTTAGGCAAATTGAAACCACAAAGGAGCATATTAGGTTGGTTGGTTTATCAGCTACGCTCCCTAATTATGAAGATGTGGCATTGTTTTTGCGGGTTGATTTCGACAAAGGACTCTTTCATTTTGACAATGGTTATAGACCTTGTCCTCTGGCCCAGCAGTATGTTGGAATCACTGTAAAGAAGCCACTGCAGAGATTCCAGTTGATGAATGATGTTTGTTATGAGAAGGTGATTGCTGTAGCAGGAAAGCATCAGGTTCTTATTTTCGTCCACTCAAGGAAAGAAACAGCGAAAACGGCCCGTGCGATTAGGGATACCGCACTTGCTAATGACACTCTTGGTAAATTTTTGAAAGAGGATAGTGCAAGTCGTGAAATTTTACATAGCCATACAGAACTGGTCAAGAGCAATGACCTTAAAGACCTGTTGCCATATGGTTTTGCAATTCATCATGCGGGCATGGCTAGGGCTGACCGTCAACTTGTTGAGGATCTCTTTGCTGATGGACATGTGCAAGTGTTGGTTTCCACAGCAACTCTTGCTTGGGGTGTTAATTTGCCTGCTCATACTGTGATTATTAAGGGGACCCAGATTTACGATCCTGAGAAAGGAGCATGGACTGAACTGAGTCCTTTGGATGTTATGCAGATGCTTGGCCGTGCAGGAAGGCCTCAATATGATTCTTATGGGGAGGGGATAATTATAACTGGACATAGTGAATTGCAATATTATCTGTCATTAATGAATCAACAGCTTCCTATTGAAAGTCAGTTCATCTCCAAATTGGCTGATCAGTTGAATGCAGAAATAGTTCTTGGAACAGTCCAAAATGCCAGAGAAGCATGCCATTGGCTCAGTTACACTTACTTGTACGTTCGGATGATACGAAATCCTGTTCTTTATGGTTTAGAACCTGATGCTCTGACAAGAGATAGATTATTAGAGGAGAGAAGGGCTGACCTGGTAAGCATTCTCTTTAATTTAGTAATGCTTGAAAACCCTTTTTATTTGACCATCTCGCATCGACATCATATTGTCCATTTTAAAAGTGTTCTATTTTCATAGTTATCTCTTGCTCTACTTATGTTTTAATAAAAATCATTCTGATTTGCTGATGGATCAAGTTAGTAGTTTTTCTTTTTCTCTCCCCTATTTTCCCCTAGGCAGAGACAAACAAATAAACTTTTGGGGGTTCTGACAACTCTTACGACCATTTAGAAAATATACTAACTTTTTCCCCTCTCCAACCTGAAATGAACCCCCCGATATTGTAGGATAATACTTTTTCTATTCTATACATTGTTCTGTGACATAAGAGAAAGGAGAAATAGGGGTGCAAAGCAATATAAAAAACTGTTTCACCTTTTGAGATGACTAGATCATTGGTTATGCATTGTGAAAATTCTATGCTTTCACGACTGTGTACGAAGCTTCCCGATGGTAGAAAAATATGGTATTGCATGTGTTCTTTTCACCTTGAGGTAGTCCTAGATGACTTAGGTAAATTTTTTTTTTGATAAGTAACAATTAAATGACTTAGATAAATGATGGGGAGGATGGGATAATTGACTCTCCTCTATAGGTGAGATTGGGCCCATTACATGTATTTCTACTCAGAGATACCTATATAGTCCCCTTTTGTTTTGAGAGAAATTAGTTCATGCGAAGGTCATTGGGGAACTTTGTTTTTTTTTTTGGAGAGCCTTTGCTTATGTCCACAGGAGCCTTCTTTGCTATGAAGCTTAACAAAAATCTATCACGGCCCTTCTATTAGCTTTGCATGACAACGACAACTACTTGGGTTGACGCTTTGCTAGAAAATGGTTGCTTACATCTCGAAGATTATTTTCTTGAGCAAACATTCCTTGGAAGCAGTTTCCGTTGAAACAAATAGGTGACTTGGAAGTATAAAAATGTTTCCTTGCATTTGGAATCTCCTGTTCATTGTGCCACTGAAGCCTCTATTTGCTGCCTTTGAGTAACGGCATTTTACGGCTAGTTTATAAATGCTGGAGGGCCACCTCATACGTATCCTCCTTTTCTGATTGTCGACTTCTGGTTATAAAAGCAAGTCATAAATCAAACCTCTTGGTCTGTTGTCACAGGTTAGCAAGTGTCCAGAAAACATTGGCTTTGTCTCCAAAATTAAGAATCTTGTTTTTAATTAGGAACAAATCCAAGAAATGTCTGACATGCCATAGTGTCTAAAGAAGTGTCAGTGTCTAATACTTTCCTGATAGACATGGTTCCTTCTAAGTATCCGCACATCTTATTTGACAAGGAGAATTGCTTCTTTATCTAGTGTAGTGACTCCATGCTGAAAGTATAGCTTAACACCATTTTGAAGCTGATATATTTTCTTGCAACCGCCGCACCTAACTTGCCTAGGGGCAAACTAGGGTGTCTGAAGTGGCACATTGTGATGTCTAGTCTGAAGGATCCAAATTCGGTTTGTAAAAGTCAGGAATAGGCTTATGATTTCTCCTTTGACAAACTTGTCAAAAAAGAAAATAATTTCTTCTTTGACAACTTAGGATTGGACTCTGCAACCTCAAAGTATATTGAAAAAGGTAAAAAATTGGTCAAAAGTGTAGAGTCTGTTTGAAGTTGTTCTTGAAAGTTGTGAATAGACTTGGAAAAAGGGAGCAAAACCTTGGTCAATCATATATTTCATATATCAAGAGTTTGAAGTCTTTTCACAAATCTCCGATTCCAAAACATTCACAGTAGGATGAAAACTCTTTTCACAGATAGGTTACCTTTGTACTTACATTACCTGAACAAATTTATGCCAGCATCTCACCCTTCTGAAGGAAAAAAATATATACGTTACTCGTTAGCAAGGTAGAAATGTTTTCCTATAGTGATATTTTGCATTTCAGGTACAGGTTAACATATAGGGCACTCTCCAGTAACTTCTTGTCTTGAGTGATTAGCTTCAGAGAGAGCCTCTCATCAGGAGCCACAAAATAGGTTGTGCTTTAAGGTCCCTAATCCAAATAGAGTTTTCATCATTTGGGAGTTCAATCACTTAGTATTTAGCCACTTAAAAATAGGTTGAGGCCCGACATAACACAGAAAAAGAAAAAAAGAAATTAGCCGGACAATAACAGCATATATGTAACTTATTGGTTGATTCAATATTGTTTGGATATGGCCTAAATGATGACGGGATATACTTCTACATTGTAAAATTAGATTACAGCTCGATGTTGGACAGGCGTAAAGAAACACTGTCATATAAGATTACGATATAAAGCTTGATGTAGAGATTGTTAGAAAAAAGGACTTTCTCAAGTCTAAATATCATTAGTGTTTTTGGGAGGGGTTAAGGGGTTATAATCAATTTAGGAGTTTAGGGGTTTGATTAGGCAGGGAGAAAGAACTTCAGGTTGGGTTGTGGTTTTTAGGTGCTAGGTTTTGTGTTGCGAATGAATTTGCTTGGGTTGGACGTATTGTCGGACAGAAAAATTGGTGTAGTGTTGCTGAAAATCTGGACAACTTAGAATTCGGTGTTCGAAGTGGCTTATAGTTTAAGCAGTGACTTGGGATTTCGGAACTTTGGTTTTATACTGGAAAAACAATGAAAAGTTTGAATGTGATTAAAGTTGAAAATTCTGCTTCCCAGAAATCAAAGAGAAGAAGTCCTCAATCCGATAGTCTCTTAGGCAATTGAAAGAGTTGCATAGCTATATGCTGCACTCTAGTTATTCATACCTTAGTAGGACCTGGACTCCAAATTGTGAATCTAGAAAATTGAAGCTCCCTACATCTCAATAATTTAATTCTCTCTCTTTCTACTTTTGCCTTTAAATTCAATATAATTCTCTTTTTAATATTTTTTGAAAAATAAGATTATATATAAAGAAGCCTTCAAAAGGGGAATGCATGTCTCAAAAGCTACACGAGGCCGAATACGGCCTTTAATGTCTCGAAAAGTCTAAAAAATCAACTATCTCATCCAAGGACACATGTTGGACACCGACACGTGCCGGACACTCCCCGACATAAAATACGTGTCTGAATTTTTTTAATTATTTTTTTAATATTTGGAAATGCCGTGGACACACCTTCGACACGCCATGGATATGTGTCCAACACTCGTGTTGCATTCTTGGGGATTTTTTTATTTATTTATTTATTTTTTTTTTTGTGATAAGTGCATTCTTGGGGAGTTTAAAGAAGTTGTGTTGAAGTGTAAGTGTGAGGAATTGTGTAATAACTTCCCATAATATGGTAGTCATTTAAATAATTACTTAAAAGTTTTTTATAAAACAATTTTATATTACAATAATCATATATTTAGGCTTATATTTTAGTTCAAAGATTCAAACTCTTGCACGATCAACTTTGGCTCTCTCTTGTTCTCCCACCAACCAAGCTTCGCTGTTGGTGGATGGTCCTCTCTCTCCTCCTCTTCTTCTTCTTATTTTCTTTCTTCACAAATCCTTGATACTTCTTTTTTTCCTTTGACAACAATATTTTACGTTGTTTCCATGAATTTATTCTCTTCTATGGATTCTTACCTTTGTTTTTAACTAAACCCTAATTCTTTTTCTAACAACACCCTAATACTCTTTCTTTCTTTCTTTTTCCCAGCAAAACACAAAAATAATTTCATTAGTAGGTTGATAAAAGATAATATTACTCTTAATTTCTTAAAGTACAACATGATATGTATACACATAATATATATTTATTATTCGCCGTGTCCCCCGCCGTATTTGTGTCCTAATATCTTAGGATTTACCGTGTCGCCATGTCCGTGTCGTATCCGTGTCTCATATCCATTTACGTGCTTTTTAGCCTAGAACCCAACAAAAAAGAGGACTAATAATGGAGAACTTCAGCACACCAGTAGAATTCTCCTTCCCTTCAAAGGATCTCCTATTTCTTTCCAGCCATAGACACCACCAGACGGACAAAGGCGTGGCCTTCCAGAAATGACGGACTTGGCCCCCATTGTACAACCTCTCCAAGCCTTAATCAAGCCTCTAGAAGATCTGGGCATAACCCACTGAACCTCAAACAAACCCAACATCAAATTCCAGCAATCCCGAGCCACTGGAAAATGTAGAAGGAGATGATTAACTGTTTCTTCATCTCTCTTACACATACAACAACAATTGACCACAACCTGTCTCCTCTTAAGATTATCCCGGGTCAAGATCTTTCCCAAGACAGATGTCCAAACAAAAAAAACCACCTTGAGAGAAGGGAGGGAAGGAAGGGGGGGGGGGGGGGGGGGGGGGGGGGGGGGGGGGGGGGGGCGGGGTTCCACGGGAATGCATCTCCTGGACAATCTGTAATACATCTAAAGAATGACCGAACCTCAAAATGACCCTTAGAAGAGGGAACCCACACCACAAAGTCGGGGGCGCCACTTACAATGTCTTAGTGATACAGCAACTCCTGAAAACCAACAGCTTCCTCAATCTCCCAATCCTGAAAATACCTCGAAAAATAAATCTATAAAGTTCAAAGGCAACTTGGGAATTTCAAGGGGGACAATGCATTAAATGTATGTCCACTACAAATGTTGGATTCTTTGGAAAAGAACAATTAAATTGGGACACAGGTACTTCTCAAGGGGAAAAAAAAAAAAATCTACAGGGATGTAGGCACAGGCACTAGCTGGTTATCTGTCTAAGTAAACTAAAACCAATGCATAAAGACCCAGTAACATAAATTGACCATAGACCACCATTACAATGTTGTGTAGAATATCTAGATATTATAAAGAACCCCTAAAACTTCATAAAAGGTTTTTTTTTTTTTTAAAAAAAAAGGAAAAGAAAAGAAAAAAGAATCAGCATCTCATTAACTGAGACTCACTGTCACTCAATATGATCAAACCTATTTTCAAATAATTTGCTTTAGAATTCTAGTCTTTCTCGACTCTCTTATGAGCTATTTGGCAGGTGAAACATGCAGTCTTGGTTTCAACAAAATCTCACTTAATTAAAATGCTAGCCCAGTGCACAAGGCTCCCGCCATTGCAGGGTTTGGGGAGGGCCAGATGTATGCGGCCTTAGCTCCATATGGAGGTTGGATAGGCGGTTTCCGGTTTCAAACCTGTGACCGCTGTCATGATGGGTCAACCTTATCATTGTGCCAATTTCCATCTTCCTAATAGAATTGAGCAGTAAATGAGAATCCCCATTTTAGATTTTGTTTAAGACATAAAGAGAACCTTAACAAGGGTAATATTCTTAAGGTTCATATGTTGATCTAGTTGATACGTTAAGAATCTAATGCTTGACTTTTGATTCTCTAGAATGTCTGAACGTGTTCATATTGCAACAAGGTTGTTAGTATTAGGATCCTTTTACAGTTTGGGCTTGCATGTTTTGGTCAATGAGAGAATCCACCTTAAAACATTTAGGATTACAACTCAATCATGTGCAATATTTTACATGTTCTGACTTGTGGGTTACAAGTTGCGTAGAGAAGGTCAAGGTTTGAATGGTTTAGATGTAGTTTACGAATTATGACAGTTAATTTGTGGTGATTAAGCCTCTAGTGCTTGAAAAACTTTGTATAGTGCAATGGAAAAATAGGATTCATGTGGCCCCCAAGTAGTTGGGGAAAATAGGATTTATGTTAGTTAGTGAATACACTAAATTATTTGACATATGAAAAAATAAATAACTAAAATTAGAGACTGCATGGTTTTGTTTTATTACCTTTTTGTTCTTGATTTTATAAAAGTAAATGTCTGATATGTTTTTAATGGTTTTTGCAGATCCATTCTGCAGCAATAGTCTTGGACAAAAACAACCTGGTAAAGTATGATAGGAAAAGTGGATATTTCCAGGTCACTGACTTGGGTCGTATTGCTAGCTTCTATTATATTACTCATGGGACAATATCCACATATAATGAGCATTTGAAGCCAACAATGGGTGATATTGAGCTTTGCCGGTTGTTTTCCCTCAGTGAAGAATTTAAATATGTAACAGTGAGACAAGATGAGAAGATGGAATTGGCTAAGCTTTTAGATCGGGTTCCCATTCCCATCAAGGAAAGCCTGGAAGAGCCTAGCGCCAAGATTAATGTTTTGCTGCAAGCATATATTTCACAGCTAAAGCTTGAAGGACTTTCTCTGACATCTGACATGGTGTTCATAACACAGGTTTGTTGTCTAATATGACCTTTATTTTCTGTTTAATTTATAAGCTAAATAGATATATTTCTGTTTGTTCATATGAACGATTTCTTTTTGTAGAGTGCCGGACGTCTCATGCGAGCTCTTTTTGAGATTGTTGTGAAAAGAGGATGGGCGCAATTAGCTGAGAAGGCTTTAAATTTGTGCAAAATGGTTAACAAGAGGATGTGGAGTGTCCAGACGCCGCTTCGCCAGTTCAATGGAATTCCAAATGAAATTTTGATGAAGTTGGAGAAGAAAGATTTGGCTTGGGAAAGGTATTATGATCTCTCCTCACAGGAGCTAGGAGAGCTTATTCGTTTCCCCAAGATGGGAAGAACCCTTCACAAGTTCATTCACCAGTTCCCAAAACTTAACCTGGCAGCACATGTGCAGCCAATTACTCGCACTGTTTTGAGGGTTGAACTTACAATTACTCCAGACTTCCAGTGGGAGGACAAAGTCCATGGATTTGTAGAGCCATTTTGGATTGTTGTGGAGGATAACGATGGGGAATATATCCTCCATCATGAATATTTCATGCTAAAGAAACAGTATGTTGATGAGGACCACGCCTTGAGTTTCACAGTGGCAATCTATGAACCACTGCCTCCACAGTACTTCATTCGTGTCGTATCAGATAAATGGCTTGGATCACAGTCTGTTTTGCCTGTTTCTTTTAGGCATCTTATTTTACCGGAAAAGTATCCTCCCCCTACTGAGTTATTGGACTTGCAGCCATTGCCAGTGACTGCATTAAGGAATCCATCGTATGAAGCTCTTTATCATGAATTTAAGCACTTCAATCCCGTCCAGACTCAGGTTTTCACTGTCTTGTATAACACAGATGACAATGTGTTAGTTGCAGCACCAACTGGGAGTGGGAAGACCATATGTGCAGAATTTGCTATATTGAGGAATCATCAGAAAGGTCCTGAGAGTATCATGCGTGCTGTGTATATTGCTCCTATTGAAGCTCTTGCTACGGAACGGTATAATGATTGGAAGAGAAAGTTTGGAGAGGGTCTAGGAATGAGAGTAGTTGAATTAACTGGGGAAACGGCAACAGATTTGAAACTGCTTGAGAAAGGTCAAGTAATAATCAGCACTCCTGAGAAGTGGGATGCTTTATCCCGGCGTTGGAAGCAGCGGAAGCACATTCAGCAGGTCAGTCTTTTCATCATTGATGAACTCCATTTGATTGGGGGTCAAGGTGGTCCCATCTTGGAGGTGATAGTGTCGAGGATGAGGTATATTGCAACTCAAGGCGACAACAAGATCCGTATCGTGGCTCTATCAACTTCCCTTGCAAATGCTAAGGATTTAGGGGAATGGATTGGAGCTACCTCTCATGGCCTTTTTAATTTTCCTCCTGGTGTCCGTCCCGTGCCTCTGGAAATACACATTCAGGGCATTGATATTGCCAACTTTGATGCGAGGATGCAAGCAATGACGAAACCAACATATACTGCAATTGTCCAACATGCTAAGACTGGGAAACCTGCCCTTGTGTTTGTTCCTACCAGGAAGCATGCCCGACTAACTGCTGTGGATTTGATGACGTACTCAAGTGTGGACAGTGACAAGAAGCCCATTTTCTTATTACGGTCTGCAGAACTGCTGGAGCCTTTTGTTGTCAGGATTAAGGAACCAATGTTGAGAGAGACACTGCAATACGGCGTTGGCTATTTGCATGAGAGTTTGACTACTACGGATCAAGATATTGTAAAAACGCTGTTTGAAACTGGATGGATCCAAGTTTGTGTAATGAGCAGTTCAATGTGCTGGGGAGTGCCTTTGTCAGCACATTTGGTGGTGGTTATGGGAACACAGTATTATGATGGACGAGAAAATGCTCACACTGATTACCCAGTCACTGATCTGTTGCAAATGATGGGTCATGCCAGTCGACCTCTAGTGGATAACTCTGGCAAATGTGTCATCCTTTGCCATGCACCACGAAAAGAATACTATAAGAAGTTCTTGTATGAAGCACTGCCAGTCGAAAGCCATTTGCATCACTTCCTTCATGATAATTTGAATGCAGAGATTGTTGTTGGAGTCATTCAGAACAAACAGGATGCTGTGGACTATCTCACATGGACATTCATGTATAGAAGGCTAACTCAAAATCCAAACTACTACAATCTTCAAGGTGTTAGCCACCGGCATCTTAGCGATCACCTTTCGGAGCTTGTAGAGAACACACTGAGTGATCTGGAAGCTAGCAAATGTGTTACCATTGAGGAGGATATTGAGCTCTCCTCTTTGAACCTTGGCATGATAGCATCTTACTATTATATCAGTTACACAACAATAGAACGATTTAGTTCTTCTTTGACCTCCAAAACAAAGATGAAGGGTCTTCTTGAGATTTTGGCTTCGGCTTCAGAGTATGCAGAGATTCCAATGCGTCCAGGAGAGGAAGAATTGATACGCAAGTTAATTCATCATCAAAGGTTCTCCTTTGAGAATCCCAAATACACAGACCCACATGTGAAGGCTAATGCCTTGCTACAAGCCCACTTCTCAAGGCAATCAGTCGGTGGGAATCTAGCCTCTGATCAGCGAGAGGTGCTCCTTTCTGCCACTAGACTGCTTCAAGCATTGGTTGATGTTATTTCCAGCAATGGGTGGCTAAGCCTAGCACTTCTTGCAATGGAAGTGAGCCAGATGGTGACCCAGGGCATCTGGGAGCGCGATTCCATGCTTCTGCAACTTCCACACTTCACAAAAGATCTGGCTAAGAAATGCCAAGAGAACCCGGGAAAGAAAATAGAGACTGTGTTTGATTTGGTAGAGATGGAGGATGATGAAAGACGGGAGCTCTTACAGATGTCTGATGCACAGTTAATTGACATTGCTCGGTTTTGCAACCGATTCCCGAATATTGATTTGGAATACGAGGTGTTGGATAATGAGAATGTGATGGCTGGGGAAGATGTCACTTTGCAGGTATCTCTTGAACGGGATCTTGAGCGTGGGACAGAGGTTGGACCTGTTGATGCCCCTAGGTACCCCAAAGCCAAAGAAGAGGGATGGTGGCTTGTTATCGGTGATACTGAAAGCAACCAGTTGCTTGCCATCAAAAGGGTTTCACTGCAAAGGAGGACAAGGGTCAAGCTTGACTTTGCTGCTCCTGCAGAAGTTGGAAAGAAGGAGTATATTCTCTATTTCATGTGTGATTCATATATGGGTTGCGACCAGGAATACAAGTTTACTGTTGAAGCCAGGGAGCCAGGGGCTCCCGATTATGACAGCGAACAGGAATGAATGACTTGATCTAGCAACCCTACCTGTCCCGCACAGCTTTTTCTACCATGGCATCGGTCCCTTAATAAGTTTTGTTGCGTATACACTGAATTGCTGAACTGATGACTCTCTGTAAACTCCATGCTGAACTATTTTGTGGTGACACACTTCTTTCAAATGGTCTGGCCGTTTAGATTGTGTAGCTATTTTAATGTCTTAGTTTGGACCATTTTATTATATTCCTGTTTACATACAAGTTCACCAAACTATGATGATGCTAATTTTAGCTTAAGAAATGTAGAACTTGGTTTAATCACTCATGTTGCTGCTACTTTTTGTTATATATCCCCATCCATGGTTGTTTAGGTTTTGGGTGGTCAATGCTTGTTCTGTTTTTGATGGATCACAATTTTTATGGAATTCATTGTGACATTTTTAATCATATGATCATTGAATTGTTTTCTTGCAACCTTCTTTTGGTGTTTTAACTGGATGGGACAGGTATTCTACAATGGACTCAGAATTGGAATCTTCAAAGTATGATGATATTGGGAAAAAGTCCACTGCACAGTATGGGTGGCTATTTCAGTATGGGTTGCATCCACTTTCGACCATTCATTGCAGGCCATTAGGCTATAGTTCTTGGTAGTCTCTCTCTTGTTATTCTTGTTATTGTTGTTAGGCCTTTTTCGGGCATATAACTCAGTTTCTTGATCAATTATTACGCTGCAAACATTTTTTTGGAAAACATTTTACACTGCAAACATTTTTTTATGAAGAAAAGAAAAAGAAAAAGAAAAAAAAAACACCAAACACCGGTTTATTGGAAAACATTTTTATAAAATAATATTTTAGGTAGAAACAAACCAAATCTAATTTACCAAAAAAATAAAAATAAAAATAAAAAAACGAAGTCTAAAATTCAAAGATTTTCTATACTAGGTAAATACATTTGAATCTAAATTTGTATGCCTGGAAGAGAACTGCACATCCATACTAATATATATATATATATATATATATATATATGGGTAAATAATACTCTACTCCTAGATTCCATTTAGTTTAAATATTACTGTAAATTGAAGAAAAAGATTGTTTCACAGCTAATTCACTTAAGTATTAAGCATGTAAAAAAATTGCAACTCCTAGTACATTGAATATTCCGGCACCATAAATAGTTTAAATATTAAAATACTTTTTGATTCTAAATGTTACATTCGATAATTTAGAGTGGGTTAAGAAGAAGAAGAAGACAGAGTTGTTTAATATATATTTATTTTTATATAATATACTATTTATATATACACACACACATACATACATATATGGTGGACGCGAAAACGTGAATCCATGTGAAATTCTCTACTTTTTTGTTTGGCTTATGTTGGGAAAAGGGCGTACAGCATGGAAAGCGTCTTGCATAAACTTATGGTATAAAAAATATTGGCAGGATATCATATTGGCCGAGAAATAAGTGTACAATTTTAGGGTGTAACAAGAAGAGCGGTCTTTTGGAAGTAAAATTCAAGATCATAACTGTGCGAGTTCAGATTCAAAATAAACAATATCATACCGGAGTGATAATTATAACTATATAATTTTAGATGAAAATTAATAGTAAAAAGTGAAAATAAAAGAAAGGAAAATTAAATTTTTAAATATGCATTTGGTTGTTAACATGAAATATTTTTAAAAAGTTAAGGGAATACAATTTTCATGTTTTGTGAGTATTAAATAGGAAAAAAAAAAAAAAATGCAGGTTCACATAACTTTCTAAAGAAAAATTAATTTTTCTATGCTTTTTATAAGAAAATTTTATGGCAAAATTAGGTAGTTATGAAATATTACTTTCTAAAAAAAAACAAAAACAAAAAAAACTTTTCTTGCCATATAAACTCTTAATTTGTTGAAAAAAAATTTATATCTTTTTTATGTCATGCTATTTTCTTCTAACCAAAAGGAAAGTGTCAGAAACGAGGCAAAGGGACCAGATTAAATTTTAGAAATAAAATTAAATAATTGTAACCATTTTTTAGTGCATTATTTTATTATTATTACTATTATTATTTTAAGAACATGTCCATAAATAATATGAGAAGAAAAAAAATGAGAGAATTACCGCTGATAGCCTATAAATGAGATTGTCTAGTGTCTAGTATTAATCTTCTTCATCTTTTTTTATATCTTTAATTCATAGTAAATAATATATGTGATCGTATATAAATATGCATAGAGTATAATATATGTTGTATCAAAGATATATATGAATCGAGTACTAATGTGTTGTATCAAGGATTTTATAAAGATATGCATAGAGTGTGATAATTAACATTTGTTTTACTATATTTGAATGTTTTAAAACAAGACTAAAATGATTTATTGGTTTTTGGATGGACCACAAGTAATTTCTTTTGTAAATTAATAATTATAGATAACTAAGATAGGTATCAAAACAAAATTTTTTAAATTTTGGAGGGCCAATTTTAATTAATTTTGCTATACAGAATTACCATTAATAACCATCTCATTGTCTATGCATGTAACAATTCACTTTCTTTTTTTCTTTTTTTAAATAATAATAAGAGTGTTTTTTCAATACACTTTTAGAGAAAAATATTGTTATAAATAACATATAACATTAAGTATTATAAGTAAATAATCATATAATTACATTCAAATTATATATTTTAACTAATTTGGCTACCCAACAAACCAGATCAAGGGCCTTGTGATTTATTGGTATCTTATTTATCTTTTAAAGTGGATGGTGAGTATTTGAATTTTTAAAATTGCAGTCAGGACTGACCTAGAAAAATATTTGAGAGGAGACAATCATTAACAAATATATATATATATATATATATATATTATGAGAGACAATTGCCCTACTGAGCCTATCATAGATCAATGTCTGATTGCGGCACAATTAAACAACTTAAACATTCTCTCTCCAAAATAAAATAATATTATAATAACCTTATTTTTGATATATGTATCACAAATCTGACATGAAGATAAATAAGAAGACATAATGTCCTCTATGCACATATTACACTTATTCTTTTATGCATTTGTGTTTCATATTATAAGAAAAAAATGTAAGAATGATCACAATGGGAGTTTCCAAAAGAGTGATTGATCAATTTCACTTTCCGGATAAATGCAAAAATTATTTCCCTTATATGTTTTGATATATGGGGAAGTTGGTTCCCTTTGAGAAGTTTTATATCAACCCTAATAAGATTTTACACTCCATTTGGTAGGACGGAAGAAAGAGGAGGTGGAGGAAAGACAAGAAAGAAGACACAAATTTTATTCGTTTGGTAGAGAAGAGGTAAGGAAATAAGAGAAAAGAGGATAAATGACTTATTTTTCTTTTTTTACAAATTTTCTTCACTCCGAATATGGAGGAAATACATGAAGAAAAAAAGACAATACTATTATAAATGTTTTTAAATTATACAAAAATTTTCTTATAATTACCATTTTATCTTTCTTTCTCTCATCACAAACAAAATAAGGTATTATTTCATTCTCTTCTCTTCTCTTCTATCCAGCCAAACAAAAAAAAAAAATACACAATCTTTTTCCTAGAAATATCACATCTCTTATTCACTCTTCCATCAATATTTTTCCATTCTATCAAACGGAGCATTAAAAAGTATGAGATAAAATATACTGTGCCGACCAAAAACGAGAGATTGAGAGGAAGAGTGCTCTCTATTACAATCTTTCACAAAAAAAAAAAAAAAAAAAAAAAAAATCATCATAATTTTGTTCGATAGGCTACGTGGATGCACCTAAAATTTGAATAAATCACGTACATCTGGTGGTGTCGTACGATTGTGTTCATTCTTTATGGTTGCTTAATTGTGTGTTTTTACCTCCTCAAACAATCATTGTGTCGTTTAGTAACAAGTGATATCAGAGGCATCCAGTTATTTCCTAACACTCAATTGATTCTGCCAACTGCCCTGTACCACAATTTGGATTCAGACTCACCAAAAAGAACTAACCAGGAATTTCATAAAATTTATAATGTCCCCATAGCAATAGTGAGGGTGGTCCACTTTGAGGGACTTTGTAGGTGCACATAGCTTTTGATTGGAGTTTTGAGATTTTTATCCATATGCCCATCATGATTAAAGTATATGATCAAATTGAAAACTTTTCTTCTTGTTTTGAAAAAAATAAAATAAAAGGATTCTCTAGATTGATAATGCCTTCATCTGTTTTTTGTCACATCCGGCCACCGTCCATTAGAAATGGGACACCACTCATGAAAATCCTAAAAAAACTATTCATACATCGTTACTTTTTTCATAATTATATTGTCACGATATTAAAGACGTTAATCATGCACCAAGGGTGTTGTGGATTAGTTATTTTCTTTATCTTTTAAAGTAAAGGGAGGGCTCAGAATTTTTAAATGGACAGGGTGAATGTATAAGTGGTGTATATATTTTTTACAAAAAGAAAAAGAAAAACAGATTCACAATGTATAGAAGCACACTAAAGTTTTTTTATTTTTATTTTTATTTTTAGCTTTGACAAGTAATTATAAATTCTTGCTCGTATGAAAAAATAAAATAAAAAAATTGTAAACTAAGTGTAACTACAAAAATATTATTTTAATTTTTAATTATCAGACTAATTCAGAGCAAGTTTACAAACTACATTGGAGCTAGACCAATGGCTTTGTGACTAAGTGGTATCTTTAACAAAAAAAAATGTTGTGAGGGGCAATTGCCCCACTTAGCCCCATCATAGATCCGTGCCTGATTGCAGCAAAATTACACCGCTTAAACTCTCTCTCTCCAAAATAAAATAATAAAATAATATTTATAATATATTATAATAAACCTGTTGTTGGAGCAGTGCTATGCATTTCCAATTTTCATTTGAGATGTGTATCTTGAATCTGATGTGACGATAACTAAAAAAACATAAATATCCTCTATATACATATTACATTTATTCTTTTATGCATTTGTATTTCCTATTATAGCAAACTAAACTAATTGGCAATTGAAGGAAAATGTAGGAATGAAGATAATGGGAGTTTAGAGAAGTGTGATTGATCAGTCTCACTTTCCTGATATATGCGAAAATTAGTTTTCTTATATGTGTTGATATATGGGGAAGTTGGTTCCCTTTGAGAAGGGATATTAACCCTAATCAGATTTTATGCTTGGTTTGGTAGGAAGAAAGGTGGAGGGAAGACATAAAGAAAGAAACAAATTTCATTTGTTTGGTAGAGACGTAAAAGAAAGGAAGACAATACTATTTAAATGTTTTTAAATTACAAAACTTTCCTTATAATTAGCACTTTCTCTTTCCTTCTCTCTTAACAAATAAAATAAGATATTATCTTAAGCTACGTTTGTGCATGAATGAAAT